TTGCCGCAGCGTCGGCATCACCAACCCCTCCAACTCCTCTTGCGGCAGAAGTTGGGCGATGCTGACGCAAGCTTCCACCGCCAACAGCCGGACAGAATCCTGGAGAAGGGACAGACGGGACACGGAAAGATCCCGACGTCCTGGAAAAACTCCTCCCTGATCTTCAGGAGAACCTCGACATCCCGGGAAATTTATTTTACCTGTTCGTCGGAAGCGAGGTTGGAGAACATGGGGATGATCTCGCTCTTGACGTGCTCCAACTCTAAAACTTTAGCGAATTCGCCCAATTTGGAAGCGGCGGCGCGACGGACCATGGGGGTGTCATCCGAACAGAGGTTGCGGAAGTATCTGGGGACACGGGGACAACGTTTGGAGACATCTACAGACCCTTCGAGAACATCTACAAGCCCTGTGGGGACGTGCTGTGGGTCTGCTGGATCGGGCCACGACATCAAGAACGGATCGTAGAGTCAACGTGAAGACCCTACGTTGACCCATCGGTCGTTGAGGGACGCCAAGGATGGGTTGGAGATTGTGAGGACGCTTTGGGGACAATGAGGACACCACGGGGACGAGCTACAGGCTCTGCTCGACCAAGCCATCAGTCCCAAAATGAACCACGAAGCCAAAAATGGATCACAGGGTCAACGCAAAGACCCTACGTTGACCTACGGGTCATTCAGAGACACCGAGGATGGGTTGGGGACGATGTGGACGCCTTGGGGACATCCCACAGGGGCTGCTGGACCAGGCCATGAGGCCAAAACAAAGGGTCGTGAGGCCAACACAGAGACCCTGGGCTCACCTAGAGCGGGTTGAAGGACACCAAGGATGGGTTGGAGCCACCAGGAACAGCTTGGGGACAGTGGGGACACCTTGGGGACATGCCATGGGGTCAACCAAGACCATACCACAAGCCCAATAACAGCCCAAGGAACCAAGGCGAAGACCTCGAATTCAACCCAAATCAGACCAAGCGCCGCCAAAGTTGCCACGGGGGCCACCAGGGACGGCTCGCGGACAACGGGGCCACCTCGAGGCCACCGCGGAGGTCACTCACTGTCGCAGTTCGGCCTTGACGGGGCTGGAGACGCGCGGGTAGCAGACGCTGAAGAGGCCACAAGCGGAGGTGCGGGAGGTGAACCAGTCGCCTCCGGCCAAGCGTTTCACCAAAGGGACAAAGTGACCTTCTAGGTCAGGTGGGGCGTGTTCGTGGGACACCACCCGTAGAGACTCCACCGCCTTGTCCCTCACCACTGTCTCCTCCACCGTGGCCAAGCTCTCCAGGGGGGGCTGTAGGGAGAGAGAAAATGGGGTCATCTCTAAACTGTGACACTCCGCTCAAGGTCCCTCGTGTCCCCAGCATCCCCCCACGCAGAGTTCAATGTCAACCCCGTG